GAGGAGACAGCTCATCTGTCTCCTGCAGAGACACTGGTGGATTCGAACCGCACATCTTTGAGTTGTCTGACAGCACAACTCACTACAGATTAATGCCACCAGAGCCTGCTAGCACCCCAAGGCTTCTGGGGCAGTTGACAGAAGAGGCCTTTTGTCTCCTGCCATGGAGAAGTGGACACAGCCAAGCCACAGAGTGTCCATGATCCCTGCAGAAGTTGAGAGACATCAGATGCTCCCTTCTGACACATCACTGGTCAGCTTTGCGGTAATCAAGGTGCTGGTTAGGCAAGCTTGGAACCCAGAAACACGAGATGGACGTCCCTGATGGTATTGGCTCTGCAGATGATCCTGCCCAACACTCAGTTTGCAGAGGTGGCTCACCCCACACTAGTAGAGGCCAACACCTCTCTGTGCTTGAAGTCTACATAGGCTGTGCCCAGACAAGGCAGCCAGTGCCCCTTAAGGAGCTTTCCCCACCAAGGCTGATACCAAATACACTAAAGGACATGAGAAATTAGCTGGAATGAACTGGCAGGAGTCAAGGGCATGGCTGCTGATCACAACTTTGGTGGTTCAAACCCACTGGCCAGTCCTTGCGAGGATCTGCCAGTCTGCTCATGTAAAAATTACAGCGTTGGACACTATGTGGGCAGTTCTTCTCTGTCCTGAATGGTCCCTCTGAATCTGGATCAACTTCATGGCACTCAGCAGATACCAAGAGCCAAAACAAAAGACTAGAAAGGCAAGAATCCATAGACGTGGATGTCATAGAGTGGATATCATAGAGTTATGATAGGATTTAACCCCCTGGAAGGACCACAGGGGTGAGAGGTGTCTACAGTGGCTCTTAAAAGATCCAGTGAATGAGCTGGTCTCTGCAGAGGCCAGCTGGGAGCCTCTCGCTCAGGAATGCTGGCGCTCCTTGCACTGGTGCCTTCCCTGCGCCCAAGGGGTCTCCTGAGGACACCAGCCTGTAGTGGGGTTTGGGCTTCACACAGTCTCTCCATATACCAGCATGTCCACTTCCCCCAGACTCTTGATTTCTCAGTCCACAAGTGTCACTGCTCTGGTGGCCTAGTGGTAGGAAGCTGCGCTGCAATCTCAAAGGCACACAATTCAAATCCACCAGCTGCTCTGCAGGAGAAGGATGGGCAATCTCTTCCCATGTGCTTTACTGCCTCTGAAATCCCACTGCTGGGTCAGGTATGAGCCGGCTCTGACTCGACAGCACACAAGTGTCACTGGAGTAGTTCCCACACAGACCCTTGTGTGTAGGTTAAGAGCTTATCATAATGAGGAAGACCAAGGGGACCTCTGAAACTGGCTCACCCCCTGGGGACAAAAGAGTACATCATGATGGTTGTTGGTTTTGTGAACTTGGCGAGGTTATAACCAGTAACCAGGAGCCATGAAGCTAACTCCCACTGGTGCAGACAATTAACACCATTAACTGTTAACTATAAATAAGGTTAGAGGCTCCAGTGCACTCAGAGGGGCCTCAGGAGAAAGGCCTTGCAAGCTACTTTTAAAAAGTTATCAATGAAAACCCTAAAGAACACAGTTCTCCAGATAAAGAGGGCGCTGGCAAGGTTAGGCTGCGTTGTTTTAGACAGGATCTTGTCAACTCTAACGCATAGTGTCCCCAGGTACAACTGACTGCCATGCTGCCTCATCCAACACCATCCTCACAATCTCTGCTGCGCATAAACCCAGCACTGCAGTCATTGTGTCAACAACCTCTTATGGAGTCTTCGTTAGTGCTGACAACCTACTTCTCCCAGCACGTCTATCTCCAGAGACTGGCCCCTCCTGGTAACATGCTCAACGTATATAAGTCCCACCATCCTTGCTCCCAAGGGGGCACCCCTGGCTGCACTTCTAAGACCTTCTCCCAACGCTAGGCTGTTGTTAGGCACCACCCAATCAAACACTTCATAGTGAACCTATGATCAGCATATCCTAGAGGGCTATAGAGCACCCATTTAATCAAACACTAACCCACATCCTTCTGTGAATGCATTGTCAATGTAACTAAATTTACCGTTGACATTTGAGATTATCCCCAATAACCTGAGTGAGCCTCATCCAGTTGTTGAAGGTATTAATAAACCTCGTTTCTCTGAGGAATAAATTTGCCTATGAACTGTAGTTTCCAGCCTGCCCTAAATTTTACATTTCCTTACCCATACTCCACACTTTCCTTAAGTCAATTCCTTGGATTAAATTTCTCAAGCCATACACATTGCCCCATCATCCTATTGGTTAGAAACCTTTCATTCTTTAGTAGAAATCTGACTGATAAATAAGACATTATTACAGCTGAGCGGAGGTGGGGGGGGAATCCTTTAATTATTAGAGATGTGCCAGACGCTAGAGTGGTAACCTCTCACATCTGCATTTGCGGACACATGGGTGGCAAGAAGGGTTGGAGAAGAGTGCTTGTTTCTCATGCAACTAATTCAAGGACAAATACTGAGTGTGGTTTGTAAAGGGGTCAGATCATTGAGTGGGCCCAAGCTAAGACAGAATGGTATCTGTAGGATAGCCAAGTTCAAGGAAGAAAAGGAATGCACCCAGTGGATGAAGCTGCAAGTGCTACTACAAGTGACCATCTATTTGGTATAGAAGAAGTGGCCTGAAGGTAGGACATTCATGGAAACTAGTTGTGTGTCATCAATCCAACTTCTAAGTTTCCAAGGTGGTAAATAGAAGCAGACTGCCACATCTCTTTGCTGTGGTCACGTACACATAGTCTGGGGCAGAGTTGTCTGGCCATCTAGCTGGGATTTTGAATGGAGGACTGGAGGATCAGAGTAATCAAGTCTGACATGAAGACACGTGGACAGGCACATGGGAGCTGACTGCTGTCAATGTGTACCACTGACCCTCCAGTGGCTTTTCAGAGGCAGTAAACTGCATAGGAGGTTGCTCATCTTAACCCTGCAGAGCCACGGGTAGACTCGAACCGATTACCTCCGCACTGGCAACATAATTCCTTACCTCTAAGTCATCAGACAACCCTGGGAGTCAGTAGTAGGTATCTTTTATCATGTTAACACCTGCCAGAGAGCGTCACAGAGGCTGCAGTAAACCAAGGAAACAAATGCCTCAGGCAGGCATTATGTGCCTTTGCCACTGGCTCCCCAGGACTAGCATAACGGGGCACATGAGTAGAGTGCCCAAAGTGGCTGACATGGAAGCCCAAAAGCAGACTCTCTAGCAAGATTGGTCTCCAAGATCTTTGCACGCTCTTGTGGAAATGTGCTTAGAACTGCAGCAGAGTCTAGGACTTCTACTCACCCTTCATCCCTTCCCTCTCCTCCAAAGGGTAGACCTGCAGAGTCGCCTCACAGCTCTCTCCACCTCCTTCAGAGGTATTCTCTCCGATCAATTCAGGGTAACCCACCTTAGTTCTAATCCTCAGATTGGCTGGGTCACAAAATCAATCTTAAGAAATTCCATCAAGAGTATTAAAGTCCTGTGAACGATCTCCTAGGCAGCTCATAAGGAGGTGACTACTAAAACAAGAAAGGACTGTCATAGGAGAACTGTCACGCAGACCACAGAGGAGTGGAAGAATATTTCTCCCTCAAGAGCAGAGCAGCTGCTTGAAAAGAAGACTAAAGCCAGAAGGCAGCCTGGTCCATGTGGAACAGAAGCAGGGAGCCGCCTAGCCCGAACCCACTGTTCACAACTCAACTGAGGCAGAGATGAACTAAGACAGAAACACAGAATATTAAACACTTGGAAAAGAATACTGATTCTTAGAAAGATCTTGAAAACATGCTAAGTAAAGGAATCCAGGCACAAAAGAATCTATAAAGACAGCAAGATTAACAGTCTATTAGGAATGGAGGGGTTGTGTGTGAAGGATAAAAACATATGGGAGTTGCCTTTGGAGGTCATGAGAAAGTTTTAAAATCAATTGTAGTGATGACTGTATATATCCATGAAATAATGAAATCCATTTAATTATATACTTTAAATTACATACTATGTGAATCATCTCTCTCAAGTTGAAAAAAAATACATTGCATTTCTATATCCAAGCACAGAATAACTCAAAATATAGGAAAATAGCTCCATTTAAAATAGCATCAAAAAGTAGAAAACACATGCAAATAAATTTAACCAGAAAGTGCCAGACTTACACAATAAAATGGTAAAACATAGTTGACAACAGTGAGGGGGATATACAGACAGTGGAATACTTTCTCCCAGAGTGGTGGAGAGCTCAAATCACCAAGTGCTAAGCCATTGTGCCACCACATTATATGATTCCACTTACATCAAATTTCCAGAACAGGTAAATCCAAAGCCAGGAAACAGATTGGTGGCAGCCAGAGGGATGTGGGACATAAATGCTCAGTGAACACAGTGCTTCCTTCTGCGGTGACGAAAATGTTCTGGACTAGCCAGACGTAGCAGCTGCACAATTTTGGGAATGTATTTAATAACCACCATCAAACAGTTCACTTTAAAATGGCAAATGTTATGCCACATGAATGTTTCCTTAGTAAAGATAAATAAATAAATTGCAAGGGGCAGGGAGGAGATAGAGTGACACATATATAAAAATAGCTGGGGATGTTATGGTTTTTAAAAAAATAAAATGTGGCTGGCTAATCGCCATTAATATTTCAATCATTCTTCCCTAGCCTACTACGTCCCACCAATGCCCTCTGGAAAGTTTGCTTCTAAACGCCTGGCACAAAGACCAGGATTCTAGAACTGTCTAGGTATTGTCCTTTTGCTGGTACTATCATTAGAAACTTGGAGCTATAGGCTCAATGGCCCTATTTCTGTGCCCCAAAACAGGGCACAGTCTGGTAAATACGAACATATTTCCAGGAACAATGGATTGCATTAACATAGGACTCTACAGCCCTCTATCATGAATACTTGAGGATTAAAGGTAGGGCCAGTACTGGAGATGTCCAATACAGAACTAGGAAAAGCAGGAATCATGGCTGAATTTAACTGCAACTGGAAAATGCAGTTCATTTCTCTATCTCCTGGGAGACTGTGACATCAGTAATGCCCGTGGTCACCAGGATCAAAGGCCTCCTGGTCCTGTTCTTTGTCCTATTCCCTGTCCCTATACCGATCCCGTTCCCTGTCCCTATACCGATCCCGTTCCCTGTCATGGTCCCACTCCCGGGAATGCTGGGCCCTCTTGTGTTTATGGGGTCGATCATGGCTTCGGCTTCTACTTCTATGACTACGCCCTTCCAAACGACTGTCGTGCCAACTGGAATGTGTGTGTGAGCTGCTTCCGCCTCTGTCCCGATCCCTGTTCCTCTCCTCTCGGTCCTCCTTTCTGCTGGAAGACTTGTGCTGATGCTTGGGTCTCTCTCTCTTTGAGTCTCTCTCCAAGTCTGCTGTTCCATCATGCCAGGTGGCCTTGACCTCGGGGGAGCTAGGGTAGTGCTTCCGGCCCTCTCTGAACTCTGCCTTCTGACCCTTCTCCATGGTGCTGTTACTGTGCTTTTTCAAGCCAGGCTCTTCCTTGATCATCTTGCTTCTAGGTGATGAAGAGGAGGATGGCAGCTCTGCACGGACGCCCCGGTCAGTTTTCTCTTTTGTTTTCTTTTTTTTCTTTTTTTCTTTTTTTTCTGGGGAGGGGAGGGAAAAGTAGCACTCAATGAGAAGAAAAGGGAAACAATAAAGGAAAAAAATTAAGAACATCTTTAATGGAAGACTAGAAACAGAAAACACAAGCAGCAAGTGGGGAGAGTGCTCTTCTACTGAAGGGACTGCAATCAATGGCAGGAGACACAATGTGTATAAACTGTTGAACTGAAAACCAACTTGCTCTGCAAACTTTCACCCAACTCACAATAGAAAGTTTAAAAAAAGCCTCTTTTTTAACAAATGTTCCTTTCTTTTCTGAATACATCATATCAACTATGGGTGGTACAGTTCAAAATGCTCATGTGCTGGGTGAGGAAGAATATGCAAAACAGCCACAGTCGATAATTTCCAGTTAAAAGGGCCTCAGAAAAGCCAAGTTGTCAACTGTGATGTGGCCCACCACTGTATTAGTCCATTATCCACCTCAGGGAACCTGGTCTACAGTTCTAAATCTAACCAGATCTCTCAGGTACCACTGGTCTGACCACTATCAACATTTGGCTGCCCAACACAGTGCTCCATCCAACCCCCTGCATTTCAATCTGGTTCAGAAGAGAACTTCCTCTAGCTTTAAGGAGCAGAGAACATGACAGACAATAACAGACTCACTAACCAACATAGTATTTGTAGCAGAAAATTACTTGGAATATTAAACAGCTCATGACAAAAGTAATTATTTGCAGATTTCAAAATCTAAAGTTCATGGCTTCTATTCTTAAGCTTGAAAAATAAGTGAATGGAACATTTTCTGTTTCCCCATGAAAACAGCCTAAATGATGCTGCTTTTCAAATCTGAGAAAGTAAAAACAATTTTCTTGGACTGAAAAATTGAAAATTGGCTCTGCCATGGATCAGGATGGGCTCATGGACCCTGAGTAAGTCAGCTGCAAAGTTCCAAGAGTTATCTTTCCAGGATGTGCCACGCATCTTAATGCTCTCACCTTTGAGGGACTCCATCTTCCCTCACTGAGGAACCCAGCACTCTAAAAACACACACTAGCAGCATATTCATTTTGTGAAATGCTATCAAGGAGAATAAAGGCATTCTGTCACTTTAGCAGAAGCAGCAGCAATCCAAGTGCAAAGGTGACATGAAAGGGCTTCTGTAGGGAAACTAGAGCACTCTAAACAGACCCACCAGAATGCAATTGATGAGAATGTGACACAAGTGAGACAAATCTAACTAAATTCCACTGAAAAATCTGTACAGAAATTGTCAATGGGAAATTTGCTGTGTCAACTTTGACTGAAAGCCTAATAACATATTGAGGGGGGGGACCAAAAGAGAGAGGGAGAGAAAGGGTTTCTGAACTCAAAATTACAGTTCCACCCTCACTTTGTCAGTTCCGGGAAACAAGCGCCTATGTCTACTCTGCAGCCCAGACATGATGCTGACCCTTTCCCACAGATCTGCATTTAGACTTCACCTAAACCCCATCATCCTTCCTCAGAGCCTCTAACTTGCCCTTTTATAGTGAGAAAGTGTAATTTATCTGGTCTGTACTTTTTTTCCCTCGACACCACAAGGCAAAAGTCTGGCTCTGCTGGGCTGTAGGTGTGTCTGCAATGGTCCTAGACGAGACTTAAGCTGATACTTCCCTTCACAGATTAAAACAAGGTTCCCTATACACTGAGAAGTTGATTGTCAAATATCAGTGCAAGGTAGGAAGAGCAGATTCTAAGACTACTCAGAACCACCCTGAGTCCAATGCTTCACCTTTTTTGCGTTTAGTGACTTTGTCTTCATCCGAGCTCTCAGATGGACTTGGGGTTGGGGTGTGGGCCCCACAGCCCTTCTCATAGAGCTCTCTGGTCACATTGTCCAACTCTTCTGAGTCTTTGGGAGCACGATAGTTAGACACATGGTCCACACGGATGGTTCGTCCTTTAATCTATGCAAGAAAGGCAGTATTTCAAGAAAGACAGCCTCCCTAGCAGTCTAACCATCTGATCCCAGCTGCAGAGAACCATGGTTTGAATCCTATCCAGTACCTTCCTGCTACTTTTTTTTTTTTTAGCAACCCTCAGTAAATGTTTTTTTTTTCATTGTTGCACATTTTCTCCTCCCCCCTTCATCCCACAGTCCACCCCACAATGCGCCCTTTGTTCCAGATTACTGTCATACATACGTGGGACCTTCCTGCTACTTTTATTTCAGGGGAGATCCCTAATGCAGAGCTGCTTACCTGATGTATCACAGCATGTGTTCATTGTCACTGAGTCAGCCCAACTCATGATGAACCCCATGCACAATGAAATGGAATGATGCCTGACCCTGTGCCACCACCAGGATTGGTTGTGATCAATCCTTTGCAACCCACAGGGCTATCATTGGCTGATTTTTGGAGAAGATTGCCAGGCCTTTCTTCCTAGTCTATCTTAGATGAGAAATACCACTAAAACCTGTTCAGCATCATTAAACTCAAACTCATTGTTGTTGAGTCATAAATAACTCATAGCTGACCCTCCAGTGAGTTTTAGAGGCTGTAACACACACAGTAGTGTACCCATCTTTCCCCCTCTGCACAGCCGCTGGTGGATTTGAAATGCCAGCCTTTGGGCTCAGCTCACTACAGAATGCATCCACCCCGGAGATCCCTATGTGCTGATTATGCATATTTAATTGTCTCAGGTTTTTCTTTTTAGCAATACAGCACAGAACAATCCCCCACTAGACAAGTGGTCTCACACACAAAAGACATGCTGGCCAGGAACTGAACCCTGTCTCTTGTGTAGGTGAGAATCCTACTAGTAAACTACCACTGTATAGCCTAACCTATCACCATCTGATTCTGGATCAGAGCAGACAGAGCAGAACTGTCCCACAGTATATACAAGGCTGTACCTTTTTATGGATGCACGCTGTCACATCTTTGTCCTGTAGAACAGCTAGCTAGGTTTAAACTGCTCACCATTTGAGTTAGCAGTTGAGTGCTTAACCACTGTGCCACAAGGGCTACTTCATCACTCTGAACCTACATATTAATCCACTCAGTCCTCAGGCAGCCAGGTAGGACCTGGGACCACTGTCCCCGGGACAGTTGTGTCAGCAGCCTCATAGATTTACTCCCGTATGCCATACAAGTACCATCATGTTCTGTGTGTGCCACAAAGTGCTCTATTCTAATCCAATCAGGGACCAGGTCTCCTAGTTCAGTGCCACCCCCATCCTGTGGCAAGGCTAACTCAACTGTAGTGTTCTTCCTTTGAGTGTAGGGACTACATAGATGACAAATATGCCTGACATTTCTACCTTCTTCTCTTAGCTTGGTGCCTCACTTGTAAGAGTTGGGTAACAGGGACCAGAAGAAAAAAAATGAATGAGTCACGTTGGACAATCTTCTGACAGAGGCAAGCATGGAAGAGCAGTGTTTGTTAATCTATTCTTACTCCAATGCATCTGAGATGAAAGTACAGGATGCAGGGATTGGGAGAGGAGTCAGCTGGCAGATCAAAGATGGGGAACAAGAATACGAGCTGACAGGGTAATGAGCCACTAGGATTATTTCCTGGCCAATGCCTTCCATAACCGCTCTCCTCAGCTTATCAAGTTCAAAACAGAACCTCCCTTTTTTTTTTAAGGGACAACATTTATTAGAACCTTTTCTATACAGAAAAACACTAGACAACCCTGTAACAAACATGCTCACCTTGCACAGGGGCCTTGTTAATCTTCTCTGTATCATTTCAATTTTATTCTATATCCTGCTGAAGTGAGCACCAAACACACTCACCTTGATTCCATTGAAATTATCAACGGCCAGGATTGTGCTCCTCTGGTCTTCATAGCAGAGGAAACAGAATCCTTTGGATTTCCCAGTCTTCTTATCCCTCACAAGATTAATATTAACAACTTCTCCATATCTATTTATTTTATAAAAGAGAAAGATACAATTGGCTTTAAATATAAAACCTTTCAGGTTGGATTTAAAACAAAATTCAGATAACAACAACAACAAATATAGCCACAGTTAGAACAGAATAGTATAGAAAGGTTGAAAATAAAATTTCACAAAGACATAGTTGTTGTTTTTATGTGTCGTCGAGTCACCTGCGGCCCATGGTGACCCTATGTATAGCAGCTCTGAAGCCTGCACTGTCCTGAGCCAGTCTCATTGATTCCGACATGCCAACCCCCATCTAAACAATCAAATAGGTAGCAGTATTAACACAGAATAAAGCAAGACCAAAAGGACATTAAAGGGAATGATAAAGGTTGCTTGATATAGAAAACAGCCATATAAGAAAAGGGTAAGTTCTAGAACTACATGCTTAAATTAACAATTTTAAATGAAAAAATTTATCAGAGATACGAGAGAAGGGGGGCTGGAAATCACAAGGTCACAGAATATGGTGAGTGGAGGGAGGGGGCAAAGGAATTCGAAAGATCCAGTGGGGATCTGAAAAGACTTGGTAATAGTGGGCATAGATCAATGGTGATTAATTTTATAAGACACAATGTATGGAAATGATTGTAAGAAACACAATATGAATTTTTTTAAAAAACATACCAAAAATTAATAAAGTTTAAAAGAATTCATTAGAGCCAAATATTAATGTACGGAAGTATTAATATACTACATAGAAAAACTTCTATGATTAAACAACTACAGTTCTGATACATGCCTAGATAAACAGATGAACAGAATGAAACAGATCAAATACATACAGAAAAATGGTACAGGGTAAAGATGGTCTCCCAATGTGCTGGAGAAAAGATGGGAGTTTTAAAATAAATGTTGTTGGGTCAAATAGATAATCATCTGGAAGAAGATGAAATTAGAGCCATACCTCACATGGTACACCAGAAGCTCCAAATAGAGCACGAATTTCCATCGAAAATACTGAAATCACACTAGAGTACTAGAACAAAGCTGAAATTACTTTATAACCTGGATAAGTAAGGAAAAATGTTTTCTAACCACAACTCAAAATCCAGAAACAATGAAAGTTGACAAATATAACCACATCAGGAGGGAAGACTGTAAAGAAATAAAGGACTAAAATGAGGGTGTTTTAGAGGGATGAACTGTTACTCATTCTGACTGTGAGACTGAGTCACACAAATCTAAACAGGCATTAAAATTCATACAGTAATACACTGTCTAAATGAAATTTTAACATCTCATTTAAACATATAAATAAAATGAATTCTGAAAATAATTTTACAGACAAAAAATAATAAAGAAAAAAGAAATGACAAACTTGTTGTGGCGTACCATAGAAGAATCGGAACCAACCCACAGCTAACCCTCCAGTGGGTTTTCTGAGACAGTTAATCTCATGTAAGGAGACTGTCTGTCCTTCTCCCACGGAGAACCACATGCCTTCAGGATTGCAGCACAGCTTCCTGCAACTAGGCCAACAGAGTTCCCTAATGACAAACTAGTAGAAATGAATGTATATGAACATTTTGGGAACTGTCTCGACTATATTGTTGTTAATCTGAATTATAACCTTTTGACTCTCCCAATATGGTTCTGTGTGGCCTGTGAGCTATCACATCAGATTTTGGACCCAGCAAAGCAGTAAGATTGGTGTTGAAATGAGTTGAAAGAGGCATGGGAGCATGGGAGACATGTTTGACCTCATGGAAATTGGTTTTGTGTTATTGATGCTACAACAGGCAGGGATAGTTTCCCCCTGTGAAGTTGATAAGGTCAGAAATGACACTTCCCATATGGCCCTTGCTCTTTTCTACAGGACAAGAGAGTGAGCTGAGTAAAAAATTAGTGAAGAGATAATTGATACATATAATAAGGGAGTGATAAGTACACTACCACAAAAGAAGGGGAACACATGGATCATAGGAGGTCGTCTTAAAGGAGGTGTGGAACAAGATACAAAAATATAAAAATGGTCAGGCTTATGGTCCAAAAAAATGGGTGAAACATGAGACTAGTCCTTAGTCACTCTAAGAATCTTGAATAAAAGTAACCCCTGTGGCTGGATTTTCTGTGTAATAATACAAAGGCCTGTGACACGATAATGCCAGGGAAGCACCCACTCCTTAGAATAACCAACCAAACAGGATCAAATAGACATTTGCCCAAGGATAAAGCCTCCAAGGCAGGAAAGGGTAAAAGCGTTAATGGAAAGGAGAATCTCAGGAAGTAGGAAGAGTGTGGTTACTGGTTACACTGTGGGTATTGTAATAAATGTTACAAAATACATATGAATGGTGAAATTTTTAAGTGAACTTTCACTTAAAAATACAATAAAAAATTTTAAAATTTCTAAAAAGAAAGGGAGGGGGAAAAGATTGATAGCTGTGGTGTCAAAAGTTTGTGGTTCCAATCAAAACAACTATGAGATATCATCTCAGCCCAGTTAACAACAGCAAAATTCAACAGAGCAGCAAACAACAAATGTTGGCAAAGTTGTCAAGAAATAGAAACCCTTATTCACTGTCGGTGGGAGTGTAAAATGGTGCAACTACTATGGAATGCAGTATGGCGGTTTATCAATAAGTTGGAAATAGAAATACCATTTAATCCAGCAATTCCAGTACTAGGGATATACCCTAAAGAAACCATAACTGCCACCCTAGCAGATATATTCACAACCATGTTTATTACTGCCTTGTTCACAATAGCAAAGAGTTGGAAACAACCCAAGTGCCTATCAATGGAATATTATGCAGCACTGAAAAACAAAGAACTCACGAATAGTGTATAAAATATGTGACCGTGGAGGACATTATGCTGAGTGAAATATCTCAAAAAGATAAGTACTGTATAACACCACTGTTATAAAACAGGACTGACATGGAACTTGGGGGAAAACTAAGAACGTACACAGCAATGAAACAGATGAGGGAGAGAACTGTATAAAAGGAATATATGATTAGGTATTATTGTCATGACAAGAGTCCAGAGTAAGAGTTGCATAATAAAGTGGACTGGGGAGGGGGGGAGTGTATACCAATGAAATAACTTTTTTTCCAAATAAAAAAGTGAACTGGGGGGAGGAGGGCAGGGAGGAAAATGTGCAACAATGAATTAATGGAAATCCAAGTTCTCTAGAAACATTAATTAAAATCTCAATAAAAAAAGAGAAAATAAAAGGTTGTTGGTCCAAATGTCTTTCCTAGCCAAGTATAAGATTAAGGTAGGTTACAAGCCTTATCCTAGTAGAGGCTTATATAAGCTCATGGGAGTGCAATGCTAGCTCTCTTTTTGGGACACCCACTTTCCTGGGACACTGGGACATCCAGTTGCATGACTCACAAAATCTCTGCAACTTTGGGACTCATTCCCCTTACTCCCAGTCTGCGTCTCTGTGAGACTTTTCAGCGAACCACCAAACCCAAGGGACACAGAGGAATGGGGGAACTGAATGAAGGAGGGAGTTTTAATGTGGGAAATGGGGAAGTTATATAGCAGATCAAACATCCGGGACACTGTTGACTCCACACTTCTTGAAACTGGTCTGCTACTAATCTTAACACAAAGAAAGTAAGAATACAACAGCCTTGGAAAGTCTGGTGCAGTTCTACTCTGTCTTACAGAGTCCCTATGAGTCAGAATCAACTCAATAGCAATAGGTCTGGAGAAAGAGGAAACAAAACACAGTAACAAAACCAATGCTTTATCATGAACTGGCGAATCTGTATGGAGGGAATACAGGTATTCTTTATGTTATCCCAGAACACCAGTTCAAGTCTGACATTGTTTCAAAATGAAGTTTTTTTTAAAAGAAGTTTTAAAACCAGAAGCTGGCTTGATAAAGTTCCTAAACCATACTCCTTGCTGTCAAATTGATTCTACCTCAAAAAACCTGATTACACGCAGGACTCTTTATAAATTCAGTAGGAAAACACCAACAGAAAAAAACAGGCGAGAAATGAAAGGCACTCACTGTGAGAACACACAAATGATGTCTCCTTCTGTCAGTTCATAAGGAAGCCCTCCTAAAAGAGAAAATCACAGTCAGCAACACATTTACCATGTTACTACCCTGGACCAAGCACTGAGCCAGGCACTTGGGGGTGGGGGAGAGGTACAAAGAAGAGTATGTTACAGACCCTCCCCTCCAACAGTTTGCAATCTGATTAAAAAAAAAAATCACTAATCTAAAACACTAAGGAAAGGTTTCCACACAGATATAATCAATTTTGGAAGGTTAACAGGGATGAGGAAGGATGGACAGTAGAGGAAAAAAGTTAATACAAAGATAAACTGGGTGAAGGGAAAGACAACATAAGATCAAAGTTTGCTGAGACACTGTAATCACATTAATTGTAATTTGTTAGAAAATTAAATGTGTGAAGCAATCGGCAATCTCCTCCCATGTAATTTACAACCTTTGAAAATCCACTGCGGGGTCAGCTATGAGGTGAATCCCACTCAACGGTATATAACAGCATACGGTGAACAAGTACCAAAAATAACACTCATGAGCATCGATTTGACAGGTAGAAGAGAAAAGAAATGGGGGAGGGGGAAAGGATAAAACTGGATTTCAGACAGCAAGCAGATGAATGGAGGCAGAAAAAAAAAAAGAGCTGAGTGCTGAAATGTTAGGGAGCATCCAGGAAGCTCACCCAGAAAGATCCAGGCGCTGTCTTTGTATTCGGAGTGCCAGGACACCTTATCCGCCACCCCAAGCTGGACCTCCCGTTCATTCAGCTCATTGATCAATTTCACCTTCGTCAAAGGGCTACAGAGGAGTGGAAACGGAGAGGAGTGAGTGAGGCCGGGCTGAGAAAAAAAATTACGAGACTGGACTCTCTGGTCTCGGTGCCTCCCTCGCCCGTCCGCCTTGCAAACGTTCCAATAGTTCCAATAGTAATTCCAACCCCCACGGGCCACCTCATGGTGGCCAACTCTAACTCGCAACTCAAAAAGAACAAGACTTACTTCATCTTCTCAGAACTGCACTCAGCGCGGCGGCAGGACCTTCCGGGTAAGAGTGCTCAGTCGCAGCGCGTCCCGTTGGAGGAGGTGGAGCATACACCGGAAGAGCAAGATTGTGCAAGTGCATGGCGCCTGCGCATGAGCGCGGAAGTGTCTCACGTTCTTGCCTAGCAATTTTTCTCGAGTCCCTAACTGCTTCCCGCCTGAAAAGAGAGCAGGGGGCGCTAGTGCAGTCTTTCACAGAACCCCAGCTCCTGGGGTTGACTGGGTTAGCTATTAACGTTCGTTGAATAAAGGATGAGAAAGTTTCCTGATAAGGCGACTTTTGTTCCTGTTCTGTTTCTCAGTTCAGGGTCCTAGTGGGGACTTCACTTCCAGACAGTCATGTGTGCACGTTCATCCACGAATCCCTGTCAGTCAATGTGGCAGAAAAAAAAAAGATAAACCCAGAGTGTAGTCACTGGACTTGTGCAGTCACGCCTGCACAAGCTAACTTGAATACTCTATATTAGTGAGGGATAGTGTTGGTAGGAGGTCTAGAGAGTTGTGCTGCAAACTCAAAGGCCACGCATCCAGAGGTTCGAATCCACTAGCTTCTCAGGCAGGGAAAGACGGGCAATCCCCACTTGCGATTTACACGCTCACAAAACTGACTGGAGGGTCAGCTGTGAGTCGTTTTGACTCCACTGCAGTGAGTCTTTTAAATATATTTTTGAAAGCTGCTACATTCATCTCTTTTCACAGTCTTGCTAGCTGCGATGGAAAGGGGGGGGAGGATAATTTCAATTTTGTTCACTTGAAAAGGGAGCTGTGGTGGCCTAGTGGTAAGAAATTGCATTGCAATTCCAAAGGCACGCTGTTCAGGCTCAACAGTAGCTCCACGGGAGAAGGATGAGCATCCTCCCGTGCAATTTACTATTGCCTCTGAAAATCCAATGGAAGGTCAGCTGGGACTCGACAGCACACACCACCACCACCACCAAAAATACTTGAAAAGATAATTCATATGTTAAAAAATACCAGATCATATGCTAATTGACATAGCTCCATACAACAATCCCATAGCGTAGAAAAAATTACATCCCCTTCTTAGGAAGAAACAGGCCCAAAAGAATTAACTAGCTTGAAAGTTACTATGTCTAAAGATAACTTGGATAAGCAAAGCACTTCTGAGGAGGAAAAACAACTTATTTCAGGACATACTGTGCAGCCATGGTAGTCCAAACTACTTTGGCACTGATAAAACTATAAAGACCAATAAAACAGACTTGAGAACTCAGAAATCCATTTAGTATGGGCAGCTGATTTTTTAACAAATGGGGGCAAAGACAGTGTAGTCTCTTGAACAAAAAAATATCTGGGCTATAGTCTTCGCAATTACGTGCTTTGCATCAGAGAGTTTGACAGTGACTAGGGTTGATAGAAAGAGAATTGATGTCTTTGAGCTGTGGTGCTGGAGAAGAGTGTTAAATATACCATGGACTGCTAGGAGAACAAACACGTTTGTCCTGGAGAGGGTGAAGCAAGAATGTTCCCTGGAGTCAAGGATTCTGAAGCTTCGTCTGACACTTTGGGCATGTTGCAAGGAGGGACTGGTCCTTTGAGAGGGACATCATGTTTGGCAGAGTGGAGGGGCGGCAAAGGAGAGGAAGACCTTTGATGAGATGGATCGATTCTGTGACTAGAGAGGTGGGAATAAGTGCGTTTGAGATGGCTAGGTTGGCACAGGATAGAAGAGCGTCTAGAGCTCTTGTACATAGGGTCGCTATGAGTCGCAATGACACATAACAACAACAGCCCTGTACCTGCTAAGTATTCCTTTTTGTTACATAGTGTCAAGCTGTCTTGGAACCTTGATAAGGCTGGAAAGTTATCCTAGGAAGTTGTCTTAAAAGTTAATTGGACCTCTCTCAGACCCTCGCTTCCAACATGACAAAGAAAAGGAGGAACAACGGTCGTGCCAAAAAGGGCCAAGGCCATGTGCTGCCTATTCGCTGCACGAACTGCACCCAGTACATGCCCAAAGTCAAGGCAATTCAGAAGTTCATAATTCGAAATATAGTAGAGGCAGCTGCCGTCAGGGACATTTCCGAAGCTAGTGTTATTTGACACATATGTGCTTCCATATGTGCTCTACGTGAAACTGCACTACTGTGTGAGTTGTTCCATTCACAGTAAGGTGGTGAGGAACTGCTCTCATGAAGCCCGAAAGGACCGAACACCTCCACCTAGATTTAGACCTGCAGGTGCTGCCCCATGACCACCACCAAAGCCCATGGAAGGATTTGATTCCTTAAAGGCTAAAGAAAAAACTCGTCTGAAAATAAAATGGAAAGTATACTTAAAAAAAAAAAAGTCAATTGGAACACATAGATTCATATTGTAAACATTAGAGAGCTAAAAAGTACTAGATGTTATTGTTGATTGCCTTTGAGTCAAGCATGACTCATAATCATCCTATGAACAAAAGGCCTGAAGCCTTTCTATAACAATCAACATTTATCAAAGTTCATAGAGTTTCCGGAGACATGTTGTTTAGGAAGTGGATGCCACATCTGCTTCCAAAAAAAATGTACTAGTATTAACCATCCCCCCCCCTTGTTGTGTACCATAGAATCAGATCCGAGTGGCACAGTAGAAGATTGCCCCTCCTTCTCCAGCAGAGCATCTGGTGGATTTGAACTGTGTGCCTTTGGGGTTGTAGCTCAGTTTCGTGCCATTAGGCCATCAGAGCTCCCTTTTAACCATTTGTAATTGAACAATCATATAGTATACTATGTTGGAATGACAAATTGAAGAGGAACGATATAGCATTCATTGGGGGGAGAGGAACCTGTTTCATTATCTGTCCTGAAGTATAGCGATAGGATAATATCCAGTCACGTACAAGGAAGACCTGTTAATACTATATGAACTGAAAACCACAGCCAAAGGTAAAGAAATTGCCTTCTGAAATTTATTGAACTTGCAGTCAAGGTGCATTAAAGATAACCGTAATTTGAATGCAAAAGTTGGAAACAAATACATAGAATTGGTAGTCAGAAAATTTGGCCTTGGTTATACAAATGAAACCAGAGAGATTGTTGCTGCTCTTGTTATGTGCCATCGAGCCGCCTATGACTCATAGAGACGTTATGTACAGCAGCTCTGAATCCTGCCCTGTCCTGAACCTGTCTCACTGATTCTGACACACCAACCCTCACTTCCCCAGTTACTGTATCACTCCATCTTATCTGAGGTCTTTCTCTCCTGCTCTGTCCCTTCAACCTTTCCAAGCATGATGTTCTTCTCCAAGGACAAGTCCCTCCTGGCCACATGCCCAAAGTATGTGAGATGGAGCTTCAAAATCCTATTGTCTAAGGAGAAACTTGGTTTCACCCTCTCCAAGACAAATTTATTTGTTTTCTTGGTGGTCCATAGTATGTTCAAAATTCTTCTCCAGCACCACAACTCAAAGGCATCAATTCTTCTGTCATCTTTAGTCATTGTCCAGGTCTCTGATGCATAGCAAGTAATTGCAAAGACCATGGCCTGGATCAGACATACCCTAGTCTACATAATAGAATTTTTACTACCAGCAACTTTTATATTGCAAATATTCTTTTTAAAAAATAGACTATGAGGGTTCCCTTGATTTGTCTACCACTCATAGTGACCCTATGAGAAGTAGATTTTAACCCTGTCCTATCTGTGCCATCCTCATCATCTCTAACACACGAGGTCATTTTTGTAGTCTCTATGTCAAACCATCTTGTTCAGGGTCTTCTGCTCTTTCTCTGACTGTCCACCTTTCCCATAATGGTAACTTTTTCCAAGGACTGGACCCTCCTGACAATATGCTCAACATGTTGTTGTTGTTGTTGTTGTTATGTGTCGTCGAGTCGTTTGTGACTCATAGCGACCGTATATACAACAGCCCTAAACCCTGCTCTATCCTGTGCCAATCTCATTGCCTCTGACACACCCATCCCTATTACCCCAGTCACTGAATCAATCCACCTCATAGAGGTTCTTCCCCTCCTGTGCTGTCCCTCTACTCTACCCAGCATGATGTCCCTCTCTAAAGACCTGTCTCTCCTTACAACATGTCCAAAGTATGTCAGACGAAGCCCCAGAATCCTTGCCTCCAAGGAGCAGCCTGGTTTAACCCTCTCTATGGTGAATCTGTTTGTTTTCTTTGCTGTCCAGGGTACATTCAATACTCTTCTCCAGCACCACAGCTCAAAGACGTCAATTCTCCTTCTATCCTCCCTAGTCATTGTCCAACTCTCTGATGCATAACAAGTGATTGCAAAAACCATGGCCTGTATCAGGTGCACCTTAGTCTCCAGAGAGACACCGTTGCTCTTGAGTACTTTAGAGAGGTCCCTAACCGCAGACTTTCCCATCGCAATATGTTTTTTTATTTCCTGGCTGCTGGTGCCAAGAGGGTTGACCGTGGATCCAAGCAAACTGAAGCTGTGAACAATCTCAATCTCTTCGCCATCCATCCTGATGCTACCGATTGGTCCAGTGGTGGGAATTTTTGTCTTCTTGACGTTACTTTCACCACCTTTGCCTGTAAGAAGCACTCTGGTTGCAATTCCTCCAAGACAGACTTGTTTGTTCTTTTGACATTCCATGGGATATCCAGTACTATTTTCCAACAGTACAATTTAAGAAGTATTGAGTCTTCTGTCTTTCTGATTCACTATCCAACTTTCAGATAAAAAAAAAATGGAAAAGAACATGGCTCGGATCAGGTGCACCTTGGTCTTTAAAATGACATTTTTGCTCTTTAGCACTTTGGAGAAGTCCTTGACAGTAGATACTCCCAATGCAACACATCTTTTGATTTTGGGGGTTTTTAAAGAATTTTATTTTTCTTTTGATTTCTTGACTGCAGAATGTTGGACAATGAATACAGAAGACAGATGATTGATGCCTTTGAACCCTGGTGTTGGTGAAGAGTACTGGATAAATCACAGATTGCCACAAGAACAAACAAATCTATTTTGAAGGGAGTCCA